CAGGAGCTAACCGAGCTGGAGTCGTGTGAATCAAAGGCCAGCGCGCTCTGTTTGTTCAGGACGCGCTTCGAGTTTTCCACCCTGCAGGTATCATCGGAGCTGATCTGCGTCTGCGTCAAACCTCAAAGTGACAACTTTCTGATTTCTTTCATTTTCCAGGTGAAACAGCAGAGCGACAACAAACAGGCGGAGAAACGACCAAAATAAGAGTTTCATTTTAAAAAGGCTTGATGTGTAGTGAGAGTCATCCGTGTTCGTCACTAACAGTGTGATGAGCTCAGCGTGTTAAAGGTCAAACTGAGTCGTAGTCAGATGTTTTTCTGTAAAGAGGGCTTACAGTCCTCCCATCAAACAAATGTGAATGCAGATCACAGATCTCTCTCTCTGGACACCAAAACCAGCGAGTGTCCTCCTCCTGTCCTCCTCCTGTCCTCCTCCTGTCCTCATGTGCGTCTTCTCCTCGTTAAACACCCGCCTTGCCTTCCAGGTGATGCGTCGAGCTCAGAGCAACTCCCCCCGCATCGCCCCAAAGAACTATAACTCCTTCACGGAGAAGCAAGACATCAACTTTGAAGAGCTCCTCAAGCTCCCTGGGTACAAACCTCGGTCCCGTCCCCCCTCCTACCCCGTCCACGTCAGCCCCACCAGACATCACATTCACACACCTCGAATCCGCATCACCTGCGTCCCCGAGCCCGCCTACTCTGAGCCCGCGGGGTCCCGGAGGAGCCCTGACAGGAGTCCCGACAGGAACGCCGACTCCAGGGGCCGCAGCCCCAGCCGCTTGGTTAGTCGGAGGAGGAGCAGATGCTTCCTCATCCTGCCGTCTGTCCAGCTTCCTAATTAACCTTTAATCTCTAATAAGAGCTCCTCTAACCAGGTGAACTGTCTAACTGTAACTCTGGGATGATGTGGACCCTTTCTCACCTCCTCTCACCACTTGGATCTGTTGGTTAAGCTCCTCTTTGATTGGCTACCTCTGCACTTTCAACCACTTTAGCTCAAAATGTTGAGTTTCCACAGACACACTCATTTACAGGGCACGCAGTGATGTTACATATAGCACACTGATGTATTCTTATGGCATATCTACAGCATATGTAGGTGTAGATGAAGGAATAACCTCGGTAACCTCGCCAAAATGTACGGCACGCCTACAGCGAGCCTACAGAGTAGCTTCTATACATCTATGTTGTAGCATACCTGCAGATTACCTGTGCACCTGCACACCTATGATGCACCTCAGAGCTGAGATAAGTATTAAATCTCTCTAACAAAGAAATGTAAAAAAGACGATATAAATGAAGCAGTTCTGCTGCAAAACAAGGACATTAGTTGATACCAGATGAGTTTTACTAGTGTATATTTCTTTAAAAAAACATATTTATCCTAAAATTTGAACCTGCAAATCTAATTTTTCCTTCTATTCCTGTTAATTATCTGGAATACTGAAGAGGTGTATGTCACTGAAACACAAGTAAAACCCAGATTTTGTTGTTTTGGGATTTAAACTGTAAGCACACTTGGTCGCTGTAACACCTGCCCTCTTACTTTTCTTTCTAACTCTTAACTTGAACCATCGGTTTCCATTTTACAGGCTGTGCTGGTGCTGC